CAAGAGTTTGTAGTGAAGGCTGGGGGGTCCTGAAAAAATTACGTCTGCAACAGCAATCGTATTCACTGCGCAACCTCCTGGCGGAGATGTTCGGCTGTATTTGCTGATGAGTACAGTTTTTGATGAAGATTTGTGACTATGTTATCTGGGAAGTTGAGTTGCTAATAGGAAGCTGCACTGATTTAATGCCTATGAGAGCTAGTAGTTGCTAGAAGATGTAGGGAAGATGTATCGTACTCCCATCCAGCAAATGCAAAGCGGTATCCTACTGCAGGACAATTCTGGCAAGCAGGTGTAGTGTGCTGCTTGGAAAACTTCAGGTCTTGTCATAGGTGTTTTTTTTAATTTATCCTGAAGTGTGACTGTAAATAGATTATTATATTTGCATAATGTGTACACGAGGTGATTCTTACTCTAGTAGAGAGCGACTTTTTTCTTGCAGGTTATGTTGTTTGGGAAGGAGCTGACACTAAAGTGAAAAGAATAATTTAAAAATTAGGTTTTCACATGGTAGATAAAACCAGAAGCAGAAACTAGTATAGAATAAGCATAGGAATAATTGGTGAAAAGTAACTGGTAAAACTTTAACAAAACAGTAAAATTTGACAGATATCTTGAATTTTTTTTTGTAGCAGAACATATGAAGTGATTCATGGTGATACTGCATTGTCTTTTTAAAGCACCTTTCAAACAGTGTTCTCAAATCCTTTAACAAGTTTAATCATGAATTTATCTCTTAATACAGCTGTGAATTATGTTTCAGTCTCAGTTATCCTAAACTGTGCTGGTTTCATTCCCTTCCCATCTCTTCCCTTCCCTACAACTCCTGCGAGTGATGAGTCAGATGAAGGAACTGACCCAGCTGAAAATTAACCAATTTTTTTTTGTCATTGTTGTTGTTATGATCAGTTTGCTGACCTGAGTGATGAGATAGGAACAGGACTGCAGACAAAGGCCAGCCCGTTTGTGTTTCTTGGTTACGTTTTACAGGCCCACTTCCTCCTCCTCCATTGTATCCATCAGGATCCATGGACAAGCAGTAGGACAGTTCTTATAATACAGGGAAATACGGGGATAGAATTAAATTAAATTAGAATTATTAATAAAAAAGAGTGACTTTTTCGATTTTTTTTTTCTATGGTGCTGTTGCATGTATAATGGTTAGATATGTCAAAGCTTTTAGGAATTTATTTTAAATGACTTTCAGTTATAAACAGCCAAGTCTTCTCATGCATATTCATGAGGAAATACAGTTTTGCCACGCATGCACGTGAATTAACAGGAAGTAGGTGCAATCTGGTGTCACCCTAGGGATGGGGACACTTTTTGTGGTTTCAGAGACAGATTTGAGACAGTCATCACTCCATGAATTGACTTTTGAAGCTGATGAAAAGGGGTCAGAGCTGAACTGGAGATGGAATTGGACACCTGGGTTGGACTGGACTGGACTAGACATGGCAGGTCACAGCCCAAATGAATGTGGGACAAGAGACAGTCTCATATATGCAAGTATCACGCATTTTGCATTGGATCAGATAGAGTTTATGGGGAATATTTGAACCTTTTGCACTATTGCCCCACCAGTCTTCTTAAATGGATGGAAAATTACATTCGTTTAGCAGTGTACAGGGTAGTTCTCTGCTGTATGAGGTACAGATGTTGCTTTCAATTCTCTTGGTGGTCTTAATCAGGGGAGTAGTGCTTGAATAGCTTAGCAAAAGATGGAATATTTTTGTGTGTGTGTCTGAAAAATTAATGTATAAGTGCATATGACATGGCAGCAAGATGAGGACGTTTTAAACTGGCATGCTTTGTTAGGTCTGGCAAAACCCAATGAAACTGATGAGTTGAGGTTTACTTAATGGGGTCAGCACAACAACTTTTAGAACAAGAGATATTTGTGAAAAACATATGTAGGCTGTTTGCTTGAAAAAAATCCCTCACTACTGGTTGCTGCCATTTAAATAAAGAGAAATATGCAGCCATATTACACGTATTAGAAATTATACTTCAAATTACAGACTCTGCAAAAGTGTTGCAAAGTCAAGCTTTCCAAAGACAAGGAATTTTAAAACACACATTTTGCAAAATGCATTCTACCCTTCCGAATTACTCCTTTTATCTTACTACACCTCCAGCTCCTTTTTATGTGAAACTGGCTGGTTCCTTCTCCTGTCATCCTAGGCACTGCTGTTGAGGTTACAGGTGCTCAATTTTTCCAGCACCTGAGTGTTTTCAGGCAGGAACAGAGAGGAAAAGTGGTGTGCAGTGCTGAGATCCTGTAGGCTCTGTGGCTGCTGAATGCTGACAGGCTGCACATGCACGAAGGATGGGTGTTGAAGATGTCTTGGCCAAGATAGTTTTCATGGCAGTGACAAAATGTTCAGGGCAACTTTACTTCCTTGAGAAATTTCAAATACTGGCTCTAAAAGGTAGAGGGAGCTGGGACAGAGTGTGTTTTCACCAAACTCACTTCTGGAGAAAAATAAGCTCTAAAAAGAAACCAATCTTAGTTGCTAAGCAAAGTGATGCTCTGAGATAGAAAATTTATGTCTATGGTGGAGGGCATTTTCTTTTTTTAACCTTGTCAGAGTGTCAATTTCAGAGGCTGAAAATGGCACATTGGAGGCAAGTAAGAGACTATCAGATTTTTGTGCCAATACAGAGGGAGCTTTTATTCCCCCCACCTTCTTAATGAGAAAGGTGTCTTACAAGATAGGAAGTATGCATATGTTTTAAAAAAAAAAGACCCCACTGCTTCACTCTTGCAAAAACACCTTTCATTTGTTTCATATTTTTTTCTCCCTCTCAAGTGTCATCATTTTTGTGGGACATATACTGCTGTAGGATGTGTGCTGCTTAATGCTCTCCAAAATGGTCAGTATTTCACTGGAAATGTCATAAGGAAAAATGGTATGATTGGAGTTTTTTCTGCCTTTTCTTTCTGATTTATACATGTTTTTCTCAGTCTTTTCCTCTGTTGGTTTGTTTGTGTTTCTTGGTTGGTTTGGGTGTTGTTTTGTTGGTTGTATATTGGTTGGTTGATTTTGTGGAGGAGCTGCTCTTCAGGTTGTAGTTAACTACTAGAATTAGGGCTGAGAGTCCATGGTTTGAATTCTTCCTGAATTTTAAGTTGTGATTTCTAGTGGATTTCAGCACGTGTTTGTAATCAGAAATGGATGAGCTAAAGATATGAGGAGGAAGGTTGCAGTTCTGTTGCTGAGATCCTTGGCAGATAACACCTCCATGTGATTCCTACACAAAGACTGGCTTAAAAAACTCAGATGAACTTCATCTGTGAGTCCTCAAAGGGCTATCACCATGAAAATAAAAATAAAGAAACGTTGCAGATTTAGTTGTCATTCATCTAGTATTTTTATTTACTCTTTTATAGAATATTTAGACTGTCCAAAACGTATTGTTTTTAAAAGCTTTTGTTTGGATTCATTAGATTTATTACCTGGATTATTCTTAGTTATTTTTAAAAGGCTTTGAACAAGTCTTCTATGAATGTGTGTTAAAATTAAATTGGTGTGCTGTTAGTGTATTTTTACTGTTGCAACAGGAAAAGCATTCTGACTTTTTTTAAAATGAGCAATCGTATGTATTGGTTAAAACTTCCTTCCTGGTAAGTGCAGCACTTCCTTTGCATCTGGTTGTGAGGGCAAGCAAGAAAAACAGAACAGCTTAAACAAAGACATTTTCTGTGTAAATGCTCTTCCTTTAAAAAAAAAAAATAGGAACCTAGAAATCAAACAAATGAATCGTCTTCAGCAATTCAGCCTTTATTTTATAAGCAGGTAATATTTCCTTGTGCTTTGTCAGTTACAGAGGTGATGCATCCACAGCCATTGCTCTCCGGGGCTTGAAGAAGAAATTTTAGTTAGCATGCTGTGTTGTTACAGTTTAACCTTTTGTGTTCTTATCTTCTTGTTTTGTTATTTGCTAAGGCATTGTTACATGGAGTTTAGCTTTTCCAGCAGTTAGAGAAAGCTTTTATGAGTAAAAAGCATTGTCTGGGAAAGGTGTTCAGAGTGTCGCTGTAACTTAGCTGGTGTGAGCACGCTCAGCCAGCACTGCCTTCCTCTTCCAAGCTCCCGGAGAAAAATTTCCACTGTAATGTTCTTCAACAGAGATTAACTGTCAGCAACAGTATTTTTTCTTTACTGAAAGCTGACAAGGTAGGCAGCTGCTGTTTGAAGTTGTTTTACAGGTGGTTTAGAAGTGATTTGATGTATAGGGTGATAAATCATCATTATGTTTGGGTTTTTTTCTTTAACAAACAAATAGTTTATACTGGAAGTGTTTACTTTTAAAATGGATGGATGTTTTCAGTCTGGTGAATTGATTTATTTGAAAGAAACACATCTAAAGATACTAGGGTTGAATTTAGATGCATGTTAAGTATCTGTCTTCAGAAGTAGTCCCAGGTCCCAGACTTTTTAATCATAAGGACTTTTTTTTTTGTAAATCTTTATTCCCCATCACTGTAAAGAGAGACAGAAGGAAATGCTCACCTCTGTGCAGTCTGCAAATAAATTACTTGTTTTTTTATTTTCTGTCATTCCCAGAGCTCAATAGGATTGCTTCTGCTCGTACACAGTAGTATATGTTTTGATTTCTGTGAAAATACACTTATGCTAATATCAACAGCTTCAAAACAGACAAGGCAGCAGAAGAATCAGTGCTCGATCAAATAGAAGCATGAACAAATTAGTACGGTGAGACTGCTTTTATCAGTGAAATACGTGAAGGGTATTTAAAAGCTCTGTTTTAATTATTTAATCACAGGGTGTTAGTTTTTTTCTACATTTGGTTTTGAATTGAAGTGGTTTATGTAAATCAAGTTTTTATGGCTAGGTACTAAGGGGAAATATAAAACGCATATACTTTTGACTGGCCTCTGATTTAATTAAGAAGAATTTAAAAAATAAGAGTAAAGAAAAAAATAAATGAGAAACTAACAGAATTTTTATATCTTTTGCTAGATTTCTTCTGGCATGGAGTTGGGGGATTATGAACAGCCTGTTGTTATGAGAGAGGAAAACAAACGAAGGAGAAGAAGGATGAAGCCTCATTGTACATCGAGCAATTTGTCGTCAATGGAACTGATATCCATTGAGTTCATTTTACCTACAAGCAATAAACATACTAAAGTACCGGAAGTGATACTGCTCGAAATAGCTGGCAACTGTACGGTTGAGCAAATGAAAGCACAGATTTGGATGCGTGCAATAGAGACGAGTCAAACCACGGAATTCTACCATGCATTCACCCCAGATCAGTTTGTTCTGCAGTATCAGAAGAAAGGGCAATGGTATGAAATTTATGATAAGCATCAGTTATTACAGACGTTGGACTGCATACTGTACTGGAAAGTGTTACAGAAAAAGGTAGGCAAGATCTATGTTGTCCAGAAACAAAAACCGTCAGAAGAAGTTCAGGAATTTCAGCGGCAGCTTAATGATTTAATTGGTTATGATGTCACTGATGTGAGCAATGTGCATGACGATGAGCTGGAGTTTACCCGTCGCAGACTAGTCACTCCACGAATGATAGAGGTAGCCTGTAGAGATCCTAAATTGTATGCTATGCACCCATGGACTACGTCTAAGCCACTCCCAGAATATTTATTTAAAAAGATCACCAATAATAACATTTTCCTAATCATACATAGAGGAACAACTAGCCAAAAAATTAAAGTATCAATAGATGACACTCCAGATATGATTCTCCACAGTTTTTTCACAAAAATGGCAAAGAAAAAGTCTTTGATGGACATTCCTGAAGATCATAGTGAACTGGATTTTGTTCTCAGGATATGTGGCAGAGATGAGTATATTACTGGAGAGACACCAATCAAAGATTTTCACTGGATAAGACAGTGCCTTAAGAACGGGGAAGAAATCCACCTTGTCTTAGACAATCCCCCTGACCCGAATGAGGATGAGGTTCAGAAGGAAGAGTGGCCCTTGGTGGATGACTGTACAGGAGTTACAGGGTATCATGAGCAATTGACAATAGATGGAAAAGATCACGAGAGAGTCTTCACTATCTCCTTGTGGGATTGTAATAGGAAATTTAGAGTGAAAATAATTGGCATTGATATCCCAGTTTTACCAAGAAATACTGATCTTACTGTGTTTGTGGAGGCTAACATTCAACATGGGCAACAGCTCCTGTCACAGAGGAGGACTTCATCAAAGCCTTTTACTGAGGAGGTTCTATGGAATATTTGGTTGGAGTTTGATATCAAAATCAAGGATTTGCCTAAAGGAGCACTTCTGAATCTTCAGATATATTGTGGGAAAGCTCAGGGACTGTCCACAAAGACAAACCTTCAGTCACACGAATCCCCCAACTCTGATTCAAAATGCAAAACTCAGCTTCTCTATTATGTGAATCTTTTGTTGATAGATCACCGTTTTCTGCTACGAAGTGGGGAGTATGTGCTTCATATGTGGAAAATTCCAGGCAAGGGAGAAGAGCAAGGAAGTATCAATGCAGACAAACTCACATCAGCAACTAACCCGGATAAGGAGAACTCCATGGCTATCTCTATTGTGCTGGACAAATATTGTCACCCAATTGCCTTGCCCAAGCACAGGATAACATCAGACCCCCAGGGGGATAGGACACGAGCTGAAATGCCCAACCAGCTTCGCAAGCAGCTTGAAGAGATCATAGCAACTGACCCACTTAATCCACTTTCTCCTGAAGACAAAGAACTGTTGTGGCACTTTAGATACGAAAGCATAAAGCACCCCAAGGCGTACCCTAAGCTGCTTAGCTCTGTGAAATGGGGACAACAAGAAATAGTGGCAAAAACATACCAGTTGCTAGCTAAAAAGGAGGTTTGGGATCAAAGCACTTTAGATGTTGGACTCACAATGCAACTTCTGGACTGTAATTTTTCAGATGAAAATGTCCGAGCAATGGCAGTTCAAAAACTGGAAAGTTTAGAAGATGATGACGTTCTTCATTATCTTTTACAGCTTGTTCAGGTAAGGTATATTTGCATTCTTGAACTCTGCCTTCTGGGAATATTTGCATTACCCCATCATAATTCCCATCCTATTAGGTCTAGTTAGTAGCCCTTGGTTTTGAAGTCTTCAGTGTTCAGTCAAAGCAGTGGTAGTAACCAAATTAACCCAAACAACACTTTCTACATTGGTCTTTTGCCTGTGTGGTTATTTTTGTGTTGCTGTTGCCCTGTGTCTTACGCATTGCCTCTCATAGTTACAGTAGTATGTTTTTCTGGCAATTGTCATCACTAGCACAGCTGTGATGGGAGAAAATCCTAACAGTGCTGTCTGTAGGCCTGTTTGTATCAGGTCTGAATCACACAGCACTAAGGAGTGATTGACTGGCTTTACCATTAATTTAGAAAGTGTGTAGATGGGAAGTGAAGACAGATGATGCTGACAAAGGCAAGGCCTGAAGAAAAACACGGGGTTGGGTTTTAGGTCAACAATAACAGTGTAGTTATATAGTATGTTACAATAACCTCAGTCTTATACTCTTCAGGGGACCAGATTTATCTAGAAGCTTTCAAAAAAGTTTTAAAAGTAAATAAAAGATTGATAGGACTCCATAATTCATTCTGGGAAGTTGGGTGAAAAACTGTGCTTTTAATGGCAGTGAATCACCGCTGTATCGATTTGAAGTGCTGTGTGTGTGGAGCTGCCAGATGAAACGTTGGGAAGGTTTATATCAGTTAGGCAAGGAAATTGGTGGGTTTGCTTTTTCACATCGTGGTGCTGGAGCTGGGTAGCCTGTCAGTAGCAAAGACCCATCTGAGGGCTGGTGGAAGGTGCAATCCTGCAGTTATTCCTGGTAAAGGCGTCCCCTGAAGCGAGGTGACTGCAGGCTTCCCACACCCAACAGGGCTTCACTTGTTGTGGAAAGGCTGTTGCTCTGCAGAGCAGGGAATGCTTTCTTCAGATAATCAGGGAACTCGTAACTGCTGCAGCAGGGAAAGCTGCAGGATGGGGCGTTTAACTTCACTGGGTTCAGAGAGAGCCAAGGTTCTCAGGAAAATGAAGTTAGTGTTTCAGATTTTGCTGCACATCAGTAGTGCTTTCAACAAAGGCTCTTTAGCCTTGTCTTTGCTTGTTTGAAGACTAGGCTCCCCAGGCAGAATTTATGCACTTCTGCATTAACCAAAGGAGTCGCTACGGTTACCTCATTGGGCCTCCCACGTAGCTGCTGCTATATATATGCTTGGCTTGTGAGCTTTTACTGTCTACATGTGGCTCAGCGATTTTATTTGCTTTTGTATCCAAATTAGGGGTTGGGTATGGTGGTTGGTTAATATCAAAGTGCTTGAGAGAATGGGGGAAGTACTGGGGTTTTTTTCCATTGTTTTTGAAACAATTTGTTTTCAGGAACTACAAATCTAGAGAGTTTTAAAAAGAACAGTAAATTAAAATTACTGTAACATAAAATCATAGAGCTTAACTTCACTGTGTCATTTTTGGTAAGAGGTGTACTAAGAAATTAAAAGATTGCCATCCGCAAAAAGGAAAAAAAAATTCTGGACCCCAGCTTTTACCTCTCTGCTGCTTCCTTGTCTTCCCTTGGCTAACAGTGGAGCATGAGCCATCAGCATCCTGAAGTGAAGTAATGGTACCACAGTGTATTTGAAAAGCCACATTTTTCAGAGAACAGATGTCAGCCATTCCTCTGCTCTAGTGGACACATCTGAGATGTCTCTTCTGCAAACAGTCATCGCTTTTCACATGTGTGCCTTCATGGAAGCTTTATGGCTTAATTATGCTCTGCACAAGATTTTCCCATTTTACCTCCCAGTAGAGTTAGAAATCAAACATTTTATTTCTTCCCAGGTTTATCTCAAATAGAAGCAGCCATTCCATAAATAAACCTCTTGAGCTTCCTGTAAAGGTCTGTTGTTCTCTGTGCACTTAGGTGAAACGTGGATGGGATGGTTACAATACAACAAAGTCCATTGTTAGACAAACACCAGTGACTGTACTGCTTGTATATGGCAGTGATTGAAGCTCTTCTGCTGCTGAATTGACAAAGCAAAGGTGTGTGCAGGGACCTGATGAAGTGCCAGCAGATGATTTTAATGGCTGGCTTTTACTGTTACCATTCAAATGTTGAGATTTGTCTTTGTGAAGAAAAGAGAAAAATGGGATTGACTTTTTGAAATAATTATTTTTAAAAGATAAGCATAAAAAGGATACTCGTAACACCTTTTTCTAATATTCTTTTATATTAAAATTTATTTGCACCATTAATACAAGGTTTTGTTTTAAAGTAATGTGCAATTTTTTTGGCTGTATTTAATTTTTAAGTTTTTTTCAGAGTTATGCACTGAGAACATTCAGCAAAGTATATACCAGAGTGATGTTTTTAATAGATGTTCTTGGAACTGCAAGCAAATCCATTTGAATTTCTGTAATAATTCTTGCTTTGAGGTGCCTTATTGCAGTGAAGATTAATTTTTGTTAAAACCCCCTCCTACCTCATAACCTCATACATGAAGTAAAAGGATCTATATATTCTAAAATCAGTTTATGTTTGTGAGTTCTCATTATCTTTCCTAAATAAGATATTGCTTGAGGAAATAAAACAGTATTGCAGAGATGGCCAGTTACGAAGAGCAAGTTCAGTGCTTGACTTTCCTGCCTGTCTCTTAGCCAGCAGCTGAAAATAACAAGTCTTTCTAGTATTTTTGTAAGTTGGTTCATTTTAGAAGGTTAACTGAAAAAGCTCTTTTTTTTTCTTTTTTTTTTTTTTTTTCTGTTAAATAAACCCACAGGACAATTTATGTTTCAGAAATAGTGTTGATATTTTAATAATAAAAAATACAACTGTGCACCACAGTACTTGTAAAAGTTTATAAACCCCTATGATTCCTTTGATGAGTTTAGTGGACCTCTGCCAATGGACGTAGTTGCTTCTTTGCAAGCTGCAGACCACAGTGATTTTGGAAGAGCCGTTATATTATGTTGAATAACTATGGCCCGAGGTTTGCAGACTTTGCTGCTTCTGAAAGCTGAGCGTGCTACATGTACCCTGCTCTCTGCACATCCCCTCGTTTTCCCTTCATCTCCCTGTGTGCTGCTTCCTGGCGCTCTAGTTGCAGAGCCTAAAGCTGTTCACCAGCCCTCTCAGTCCACAACAGGGATTTTGTGATTCTCTTCCAGAGATTGTATGCCTCTTAATTCTCTTTTCTTGCCATGGGGTATACATGCACTCCTTTTTTATGCCATTAATCGTAATGCAAACCTCCTGTTCCCTAAAGCAACGGGAAAGAAGCTGCAGGAAACACCACCTGAAGTGGACAAGTTCCTTGGCACAGCCCAGGGCACGTGGAAGTGTGATAGCTTTCTGGGAGGCCAATTCAACTTGCTTGCCGACATGAGGGCGAGAACAAGAGCAAACTATTGCAATCCTGACACGACACTTCAAAAAACTTGTTCACCTTTTGGTTCCACCCCTTTTTTGGTGGTAGCTTGGAAACATCTGTGGGCTTACGTAGAATGAAGCAGCTGTGGGAAGAGCAAAATACATACATACTCACACAGTCTTTAAAATAAAAGCAGCTCTGGTGAAGTCTTCCTTTGTATTGTACTCCATTAATACGGGATGTGTTTCACAGCCTTTGTTTTGTCATGCGTGTAGGGGCTCAAGGCCAGACTAGGTGCCCTGAAAAGCTGCTGCTGTATCCAGTGCTTGGTGGGGAACCAAGCACTGAACCCTGGTGCCTCTGTCCCGAAGTGGCAGATGTTGTCAAAAGCTAGTGCTTTATCATTGGAAATGTTTATTAGAGAATGATTTTAAATAGGTAGTTTCATTGGGCAATAATCTTTTCAAACCTTCTCAGTGTCATACTGTAAACTGTTTTCTGATCTTGCTGGTTTTTGCTGCGGCCTGAAAAAGATGTTGCTCTGACATCTATGACATGCCTTCATCTGCTTAGATCGATCTCACTGGTTAGCAACTCCCTGCAATGCTTTATTTGCCACATTAATAATATACCTGAAAAGAACCTGTTGCAGAGAAAAAGCACTTCTTGAATTAAACACAGAGAAGCTTGCTTTGTTCTTTTTCAATTTTGTTTCCTGGAGAGACCTGATTTGTTATACATATTCTGTGTCTGCAGCAGTATGTTCTCTAGATGTTATTGGTAAACTATATGTGCAATGGGATCTGAAGTATGTAAATAACATGCCTTCTATGTTTGTATTACTCAGGCTGTGAAATTCGAGCCATATCACGACAGTGCATTAGCCAGATTTCTGCTGAAACGTGGCTTGAGAGTAAGTACTTCAAAAGGCAGCCAACTTCTGCTAATGTTACTGGCATTGTTAAAATCCTTTGTCAAGAAATGCATGCTGATTGTAGTATTTTTCCTTACCTCCAGAACAAAAGAATTGGTCACTTCTTGTTTTGGTTCTTAAGAAGTGAGATTGCCCAGTCCATGCATTACCAGCAGAGGTTTGCGGTCATCCTAGAAGCCTACCTTAGGGGCTGTGGAAAAGCAATGCTACATGATTTCATGAAGCAGGTTCAAGTAATTGAATTGCTGCATAAAGTCACAATGGAGATAAAATCAGTTTCTGCAGAAAAGTATGATGTCACTTCTCAAGGTATGTGCTAACAGGCATTTCTCTGTAATAATATTGGTTTTTTTCTCTTTTGGTGTGAAAATCTAGGCAGCAAATTGTACTAGTTATTTAGAAAATTCATGGATAAATTACGGTCAAAGGGCATCGTTATTACTTCTTTTAAAATGCCAGAGTAAGTCAAAAGTGGTGGAACCAATAATACATTTGTTTACCCATTCCACCCTAAAAGGGGAATAATATCAATGCTCTAGACACCCAGCACTTTCCCATGCTTTGGCTTATCTCTTTGAACCCCATGCCATGCAACTGGGAAGCAGCTAAGTTCTTGTACATAACCCTTAGCTGAATGCCAGCACTGAAGAAGGAAACAACCCAGGACAGAAATAGAGGAGAAATGACACTTCCCAAGAAACACAGCCTTACCCTGAGCAGTCACTAAAAGACTCTTGGCAGGCAGACCGAGGAGAAGTCCAGTGCAGCCTTTGCTATGCCACAAAAGTAGCTGGTGGGTCAGTAGTGAATGTACAGAGCACAGCTTTGGGTGTGTGAATGTGCTGAAAAGGAGTCCTGTGAGATACAGATGTGGCATTGTTAATTCTAGTACTTGTAAGCTCTGCTTTGGAAGCCACAGTAGGGTTGTGCAATACCTGTTTACCTCTGGGTTTTGCCTACCCTTGTATCGTGTTTGTTTGTTTTTTTTTTCCTCAACTTTATTATTTTTATTTATATTTATTTGATTATATTTAAAAGCTTATTTGTCATCATTCCTGTTAGTTGCTTGCTGTTGGGAGTAAGTGCGAGAAGACATGGTAATATTTTAATTCAGAAAACAAGAGAGACCAACTCTTCCTGCATGTTTAGTCTGGTGTGTTCCAGGCCAGGAAATCCTTGATTTAGAAAGCCTTTCCACTCTGGTTATGGAGAAGTGACTATGAAGGTGCTTTAAAAAAAATTTGAAGGAAATTTGCATTTATTCTTCAACGTATAATGTGGTATCAGTTGTGTTACCCCATAGTGCGAGTTAGGGGACTTACTGAACCCCCATATAAAATATTCTTCCTAAACAACTTTATAAAATTTATCTTAAAATGCTCTATAACCTAAATATATTTGGTCACAATCCCATGTTTCGGAAAGCAACTTTACAGCGTTGCAGATGTACGTGTCTTTAATGATAGTGGTTTCCATAATACATTATCCTTGAAGGATATGTGGGCAAAGAAGAAAAGTTTCAGGAGAAAGCAATCACATTAACACCCACTAAGTTTTGAAGTTAAAGAATCTTTGTGTGTAATGTACAGCAGAACATTGAAAGATGACTTATGTAATTGACATTTTCACTGAATAAGGCTTCCTGAAACTTTGCAGTGTCTTACTAATGCTATATCTAATTTAATTTATTCTAAAATTATTGAGGATATGATTTTTCCTACAGGCACTCTCTACTTATATTTTAAGAAATGTATGTCCTAAAATTTCTTCTTTAGTTTATTGCTACTTTTTTGCATAATTTCTAATGTTCAGAGTTGTTTATATTTTCAGTCTTAATGTTTCAGAGTGTTTAATTTCATTCTGTCATGCAGCCTCATCTAATTCTTGTATATAGTTTTCTTCCTCCAGTATTTGGGACTTTGAAAAAGAATAAATTCCTTCATGTTAGGTCCATACTAGTCCAGTAGCAATCATGCAGTCAAACTGTTTCTTTCAACTTTTTGTGTAGTCTCTTTACTTATATTTGAATACAGCAAGTAATAATAAATAAATTAAGACCATAATATTACAGCTTGCATAGGATTATCTGCTTTCATCACCACTGTATTAGATTGACTCCCAAGAATGTGTCTGTGCAGCTGTTTCTTCTCTTAAAATAGCACTTTGTCTTAAGCCACATCAGCTTGAAATTGTTTTAGTAAGAGCCTTCATTTGCATTTTAAAATTAACTAATTCCTAATCTTTACTAGCCTCAGTTGGTTGGTATACAGTCTTCAAATTACACTACATTGCAATGAGGAGACTTACTGAAGTCAAGCTATATCTGTCTAGGAAACAGGTACATTGCAATCTAGAACACTGTTTCATGTTTCAAGTTGCTACAGCCTAGGGGCTTTTTGGTTTCATTTTGGTTTGTTGGGATTTTTTTGGAAAGTGTCTAATTATAAAATTCCCTTATTAGCTCCTGTATCTTGCTGTCAGATTTATTTTTTTTTACCAGATGAGAAACCACATTAGTCACCTGGCACTGCTAGATAGTACCTTTCTAAAAGCCTTTAGTATGTATTACATTTGTGTTCCGTGAGTTCTCAAAATTCTTCTGGCTTGACTTTCTTAACTTGAGAGCAGAGCAGCTTTTGAAATGTCTTCATTTTCTGTAGAAGAGCCTGCAAAGTACACTCACAGCCCAGAAAGTCAGCTGTATCCTGGGCCACATCAAAAGAAGCGTGGCCAGCAGGTCGAGGGAGGGGACTGCACCTCTGCTCCACTCTGCTGAAACCCCACCTGGAGTCCTCAGTACAGGGACACATGGACCTGTTGGAGCAGGTCCAGAGGAGGGCTGCAAAATTGATCCGAGGGCTGGAACACCTCTCCAATCAGGAGAGGCTGAGAGAGTTGAGGCTGTTTATCCTGGAGAAGAGAAGCCTCCAGGGAGCCTTACAGTGCTTAAAGGGGGCTTATAAGAAAGATGGGGACAGTCTCTGTAGCAGGGCCTGTTGTGATTTTAAACTAAAAGAGGAGGGATTCAGTGTACGTTTAAGGAAGACATTTTTTACAATGAGGGTGTTGAAACACTCACACAGGTTACCCAGAGAGGTCTTAGATGCCCCATTCAAAGTCAGCTTGAACAGAGCTCTGAGCAACCTGATGTAGCTGAAGATGGCCCTGTTCATTGCAGGGGGAATGGACTAGATGACCTTTAAAGATCCCTTCCAACCCAAACCATTCTACAATTGTATGATTTTATGTATTAAGTATCCAGGTCCATGTCTAGCTTTTGTTATAACATTTTTTTTTTCTCTTTAATTTTTATCTCCAAAATTGCTTGAAACTCTGCTGTGTGGCTCCAGATTCTTTTAGAAGAATGTTCAGGTCTTAGTCCTAACAAAGGGTAATACCCAGTGTATTGCTTTGCTGCTAACAACTGCTAGCTGAGATGAACAAGTGCATCAGATGTATAAAGCATACTGTTATAAGCTGCAGATTCAGAAGCTTGAGTTTTTATGGGTGAAAAGATTCAGTTTACATAGGAACATTAAAATGTTTTTGTATAAATATACAGGAAACTTTCTTTTCATTGGAATGTGAGATTAATAAGGCTGCACTATGAAACCTGTTTTAGGAGGGTAGGAAATTCAGTATCTGTACAGTTAAAGTCCTTATGATAATGGTATAGTTGACTCCAAGAATTCCAAAGCACCAGTCTGTCTCCAAGAACAATAAAGCAGGTCAAAATAAAACTGGAAAATGCAAGCTGCTTTTAAATGCCTCCTCCTTCTGAGCCTTTGGGGTAGATAGTTTAACTGTTCCTTGGTGGTTAGAGGGACAAAATATTTTTTGGTGTGTTATGATGTATTTTGCTTTGTTCTTAAATGAAAGATTTAATTTTAATGTAATCTCCTGAGATTTCAGAAGAACACCATGCACACTGCAGTACTTCAAGAGTATGTAGAGTGCACATGACTTGTGAGGTGCTTATAGACTTTACATTTAGGTATCTGCAACAGCCCTGACCACTGATAGTGCAAGTTAAAGAGTCTTTCTCCAGTCCTCAAATCTAGACATCCTTAAGGAAAGCAGTTTTAGAAGTAGAAAAATGGAGGAGGATTTTAGCTAAATAATGCTGCTTAACAAGTTTGATCACCTGTAACTTTTTTGCCATCCAGTTTTTGACTTCATTGTCTTGTCTTGCTTTTAATCGCAGTTGTTGCACAGCTGAGACAGAAGCTTGAAAAACTACAAAACAGCAAACTTCCAGAAAGTTTTAGAGTTCCATATGATCCTGGGCTAAGAGCAGGAGCCCTAGTGGTAAGTATATTCTGAGTTCTTACAGATCTTTTTTTAAAAAATTTCCTGTTTGTAAGTATGTGTCATTTGGTAAAAATTCTTGCTAATATGTCTGAAAGTCTTATTCCATCATCAATACAATCACATTCCATGGACTCAGTAAATTGTTTTTTTTTCTAAAGCTAATAGCATTTTTTCTAAATGTAATGGCATGCCATCAAGCACTAAAAAAATGCAACAATGCATAAAATCCTAATCATTAAATGGCAATTATGATTTTTCCATTAGTTTAATCTATTATTTAACCAGGTAACTGACTTTTTTTTTTTTTCAATAAATACCGCTGTAATACTAGTTTATCTGACTTCAGGGGTTTTGAGATATTAATTTTCTTTTCCTCCAGTTACTTTGTCTCACTCTGATTCACATCTGTCATTAAGGTTTAGGTCCAGACCTTCATCATACTAACAATAATGTCTACTTTAGCTATTCCTGATTTTTCAGTATCTCTGTGTTGCTCTTGTTGCTTTTATTAGAAAAACCATAAAGATCTTGGTAGAAATATATCAAAAGACACCTGGGTTTTTCTGTGTTACTGTCTCCAGTTTTGTGGTGAGGTTGCAGTGGCTTACATACAACAAAGAACAAAACCATGATGAATAAATTGGCACATGTGTAGTGAAAGGGAATTGGCTCATGCGGTATGAAGTTTGGGTAAAGAAGCACAGTGAAGAACCTTGGATTCACTTGATGTGTAGCAATGAGCCTACAAAAAAAAGAATCCTTTAATTTTTCTCTTAGCTAAGGACAGATAAACTGTCCAGCCAAAGGAATTTCCAAATGGCAGGGTACTGATTTGGATAACTGTTACTAGTTGTCTTGTTAAATAAATTTATGCCTTGATTGATGGGCTGTAAGCTAGTCTGTCTTCAAGCTGAGAGGGTTAAACACCTCCCAGATAGGCATGACTCAAATACTGTCAGCACAGAAGTAAATTCAAACACTATTTACTCAGAAATACAGAATTTGTGGATCCTTAATTATTTTCTTGGTAGTATTTCTCTCTCTTTAGCCTCTTGTGTACAAAAATCAGCGACTGCAAAAAGTGGATTTGAAAATAAAATAAAAGATCTTTCTATACTTTCTAGTTTTCCTTCACTTAGGAAGTATTCAGTCCTACCAGCACCTTCTTAGATGAAAGAAGTGATAGATTTACAAGGGAAGGTTGCTGTGTCCAAAAACAGATGGATTAGAGCCTTTTTTTTTTCCGCCCTGAGCTATATGTACAAAAGCATTTAATGCAACAAAATGTATTGGTAAGCTTTAATTTCATCTTCATTCTAGCAAGTGCTACTTGTCCATAATCTTCAAACCCTGAAATCTGACCATTCTAAACCAAATATTAGAAGTAAAATCAGTGTTTGTAGTAAGTTCAAAGATTTAACAACTTCCCTTTTTAAAAATAAGGATGGTAAAAACTGTTTTGTTCTGAACTACAAGCTCAGAACCTCAGCCTATGAAATATTCTTCTCTAATGTCATTGATTCTGTCAGCTCTCAAACACTAATGTGCAGTTGCTTTTATTGTTTTATATGGCTTTATTGTACATAGTAATGGTCAACAATTAACTAGGAATTCCAGAACAGGAAGTATTACATACTACAATTGCATTAGACATATTTAGTTGAGAAAACATTTGAAATAATGCAATTTCATCAGTTTCAGTTCTGAATTTCTTTAAGATTAAAAATGTAATAAAACTAAATAGGGAATTTATTTTCTTATTTTATGAATTATTATGTTGAATTAATTCCACAAATGCCATTTTCCCTATGAATTTTAACAATTTCCTAAGGGAATTGAAGCAAGCAATTTGGAATAACTGAAGCTGAAGAAGTCACAAGGGGGGATGTTGTCGTAAATTGCTTTGGGCAGTGGTTATATTCTAGTTTTGCAAAGCACCTGTTAGAATGGTGTTGCAAGGGTTCATTATTTTCCATTTTTTTCAGAATCCCTTATTCCTGGTTTAAAAGTTGGGTTTTTTTCTGCCTGAAGCAGATTTACAGACTAAATCCAGTTTCAGAAAATCAAGGCATGCTTCTTCCTTTGTTGTGGACGTATTAAAAGTTGTGCAGATTCAGTGAGGCAATTGGATACCCTTCCTTACCTCTGCTTCCAGAGTGTTTCTTGTGGTATTACTGACTGGAAGCTGGTAAACTACCCTGTAGCTTGTGTGTAAAAAGATGAGTTGTGTTGATGTTGGAGTACAATGGCTAGCAATAAACATGTCTTTCACAGATAGAAAAATGTAAAGTGATGGCGTCTAAGAAGAAGCCCCTCTGGCTTGAGTTTAAATGTGCAGATCCAACAGCTCTGTCAAACGAAACCATAGGCATAATCTTCAAACATGGAGATGACCTCCGTCAGGACATGCTTATTTTGCAGGTATGATAGCTAAAATGCACAAAACTAGTAACCGGAACATCTAAAAATATTTTAAAACTGTTTTACTTCTCAGATTGTATATATCCTATCTTTACTGTTCATATTTGCTCAGGAATGTGGTGTAGAAGTGGCCTGGTAGAGAGAAATAATGGTTATGCTTGATGAACTTACAGGTCCTTCCCAACCATAGTAATTCTGTGGTATAACATACGAGGTGGTCTTTTGTTTTTTAAACCGTGTATGGTAAGGCTGACAGCAAAACTGGATCTACTGTGTTGTACTACAGTTTTTTTATGTTACTGTGTTGTGAGTTAATGCTGGTGGAACGGGGAAAGAGGGAAGGAAGAGTAAAAGCAAGAAAACTTATGGGTTGAGCTAAAAAAATGTGGAAGAAGAGAGAAAGCAAGAAAGCAATGCAAAGGCAGTGACTCACCACATCCCATGGGTCGGCCAGTGCCCAGCCAGTGCCCAACTTGCCTAATCCCTTTCCGCTCCGTTTTATTGCTGAGCAGGACATTATTCAGCATGGAATATTTCTTCAGCTGATTTGGGTCATCTGCCTGGTTATGTCCCCTCCCAACCTCCTGTGCACCCCCAATCCATTCACAGTGGGCTGAGAGAAACAGGGGCAGCCTTGACACTCTGCAAACACTGTTCAGCAGCAGGTGGAACATCAGTGTGTTACCAGCATTGCTTTGGTCACTGACCTCAGCCGCAGCACCCTACCAGTTGCTCTGAAGAAAATTAACTTCAGCCCAGCCAGGCCTAGTAGGTGCTATTACCCTGTTTTCTCCTGCCATCTGCCATACATGCTTCTCATTTCAGTATTCTAGAGAAGGAATCTTATTTATTAAAAAGTGGTCTGTTTTTCTGATGAAGCATTTTTGTCATTTATTTATGAAATGAGTGAAGTTACAAATGAAAAAGAAATTGGTATGTAGCATTGCTCTAGTAAATATTTCAGTGATTATTCTGACAAACTGGTTTGTTAGCATTTTTGAGGGTATGGGGAAGAATGGAATACTTGCCAACACACTCAATCTCAGCTCATGTAGAAATATTACAGTATATCTATTAATACTTTACAGTAGACATTGCCTGGGCACAGTGCAGATGAGAAAATATAAAACCTGATTCTGTAACTGATAATCTTGAATGTCTGCATACTTCCTTTATTTATCTCTTAATCTGTAAAATAGACAAGTAAATTTAAGCCCATCTCAGAAGTCTGGGTAGTGTTATTTGTGTGAGCAATAAGTAATGTCCAAACAATTGAAATAACTTATGTTATACGGTTTACTAGATTCTTCGAATTATGGAATCCATTTGGGAAGCAGAATCCTTGGACCTCTGTTTGTTACCATATGGCTGTATTTCTACAGGGAACAAGATAGGTATGTGATCACACTTACAGTGGTTAGAAATTCAAAATACTCTACTTAGAGAAATTGCATATAGGAGAATTATTATAGTATGCACTGTGGTTCTGAGACAGTTTGTTACACTTCCTCTGAGCAGTCTTCAGTTGCATCTTGCCAATGGTTTCTGCCCTACTTCTGATGAGTATCCTTCAGCTGCTGCTGTAGCTTAACTGATTTCTGTGCAAGTCCAACTGTTTGGGTCCTGCTGCAAGTTTCTCTCTAATAACAATATTTGGTATGAAAAAGCAGTGAAAGTGAGTGACTTGCTCAAGTTGTGTTTTAATGTGTTGATAGAATAAAATAGAGAAAAGAGTTAAATAGCAAAACATTTATAATTTTTTCCTTACCTAAAGATTGATACCCTATACTTACATAGAAGCAACAGCATTACTCAATAGGATTCTTAGGCAGCATTTCTCAGTGGGCATTAATTCCTGCAGCATAGATGATATCTTTTCTAGAAATCATGATGGGAAAAATCAAGTAGTTGCTTCCAAAGCTTCTGGAGAACTCTGTGATGGTGTATAGGGGTGTATAGAAGGTTTATACATCTGGATGGCTCCAAATTGACTCCTTGGGGTTGGATTTGCATATATTACATAGCCTAGCACATCCACATTGCCCAGTTTCCTAGTGTGCAGATAATACAGAACTGACTGCAGAGTCAGTTTTGCTGAGCAGTTCTTTCTTGAACGGTTAGCTGGAGGAAAGCTTCCTCAGTGCCAAAAAACTGGCCATGCCCAAGTGAAGCTATTATGGTGAAAAAAATACTTTGGCTGGTGGTATAAACAGTACGTCAGTGAGACAGATTAGCAGGTACAGCTCTGCCATTTACTTAAAGCTGGAACATGTGTAAAAAGTAGCAAGTTTTTAAATTCATGTTATTGTTGTAGCTGGCAGTATGATAGTAACTGCATGGATTGATAAAATAATGATAATATAAATATTGCTGTATGTCTCCCATGATATGCAGCTTTTCAGTTCTTTTCTTAGTGATTTATTTTGCTTTATGGTTTGAACAATAAATGGAGTCACAATAAAATTAAGAACTCTCTTTAATATGTGTCTATAGTGTACTTCCTCTCTAAAATCCATGGCCACATAAAATTTTTCTCATCCTTTCTTTTGACTTCAAGATATCTCAGCAATGCAGAAAAACCAAACTCACTGAAAAAATACTTAGTAATGTGACACAGAAGAGCTTCCTTTCTCCTAATATAAGTGTTTTAAAATTAAATAAATTGTACTGATAGAATTCTAATAATAAAGGAAATGGGACATTGTATCTCAAAATACTAACTGTAAATATAAAGAAGGGTTTTTTTCTCTTTAGGGACATTGTAACAAACCTAATTTTCTGAGAGATTTTTAGGATTTAATTTAGTTTTGTTTAAAACCGTCTTAGGACAATGTAATGTGTTGAAATAATGGAGGAAGGTGGAGGAATTCTGCCAGTGATCTGTCAGAATTCTGTCATTCTTATATTCAAGTTACAGAATTCATTATTCTTCCATGAATTCTTAATTGAATCCCCATTCTTTTATCTGAAGGAAGTAATTGTTTACAATTTTCCTATACACATGGGGGAGATATAAGCACCACAGTAGGGGCATGGTTAATCACTTAAACACTCCAGTCCTGTTTGCTGAGAATACCTGCAGCCTAAATTAGCAATACCCAATGTGGAATGCTTTGATGGACAACTTGTGCTTGTTTGGAACAAAACCAGAGTAATGGTATGCAAATGTTCTTTCACAGTATTCATATGTAATCTTCTTCTAAGCTACTTCATCCCTCACTTGTAATATTTCCATGGGACTTGGGGCAGTTTCAGTGTATTGACACAAGGCCAGTACCCCATTCTACACTGAGCACAGGGAGACAGCCAGGTGTCTTACACCTGGGGCTGGCATGCCCTCCTCTGTGGAGCTTTCTCAGTCCATTGAAGACATCTGCATTCAATGCAGTTTGCAGTTTTAGAAACAACCTTCCTCTCCACTGCTGCTGCCAAATAAAGCTCTGCAGGAGAAACTTTCTCTTCTATGTATTACTGGTAAGAGATTATAGCCTATTCTCTCTCCCTTTGACATGGCCATATGTTCCCAACTCTGTGCGGCAATTATCACTACTTACCATGCTGCATCACTGCCAAATTTAAGAAATTCAAGCCTACCCATAATATAAGAGTCACCTGCTTTAGTCCTGCAGACCCTAGAAACACAGAGTGCAGTGCAGTCACTGCTGCACTTCCTCCCAGCTGAATACAGCCCAGCTGAGATCTTCTATCCCTGGTTTCCCTCCTCTAGGACTACCCATTCCTACTGAGAGGCATGTCTGCATTTAGGATTTCCCAGTAGAGTTATACTGTTTCATCAGATAACTCTTTTTTTTTTTTTTTTTTAAGCATGATACCTTTTTACTTTTATTACAAGTATTTACTTTGGCAGATTAAGCTGCACAACATTCTCTCCGTATTTTACACCACTCCTTTGGCAGTACATTGCAGAATGATCAGTAGGGGGTTTTCATTAGCAGCTGCTTTAAATCTGGGGACAGATTTGGTTTAGCACTTGGGACAGTACTAACCAACCTAGCTGTGCTGGGAGGAGAGTTAAATAGAAGGGGAAGCAGAGGGTACCTCCTGCAACAGCTCCACTCCCCTGGTGTCGAGGAGCTGGTGGCCGGTAGAGGGAGATTTGTGAGGACAGGCAGGAGAAGCCCTTTCAACATCTGGAATGTGATGTGGAGCTTACTCGCAGCACGAAAACAACAGCTTGACAAGCACAGACTAAAATGTGGAGCTTTTTAATTTGGTGGTGTTGGCAGTGGGTTTTGGAGGTCATATTTCCCCAACAGTTTTATTACAGACAAATCCAGGCCACTCTCAAGACAGAAGAAATACCTCACCAGGGATATTCAGCTGTGAATTCAGCCATGTGTGTAAGGCAGGGGCAGGAAAAGATTACTGTGGTGTTACTCTGTTACTGAAAAATTTGCACATAATTCAGTAATTGCAAAAGGGTAGGAATGTGACTAGGTAGAAGTTCATCCATTTTAGAGAGAGAGTCAAACTGAAACCGAATCAGAAACTGCTTTGAAGCATGCTGAGGAGAAAGGGATATTTTCATTTGCTTGCTTGGAGCTGGAACTGAAGCCAGGCTTTTACATAGAAAACTCTGCTGAACTTGAACTGGGGGAGGAAAGTACAGTATTTCCAGTTACCAAATAAGTTCAACTAAAAGCTGACCTTCCCCCATACAGACCTGCCTAGTATGAAGCATTTCCTAGTCTTGGCTATGGTGCAGAGTTGTGCTGCAGCCTCCGTTTCTGCTTTTCTCCCTCGGTTCCCCTTCATCACGTGCCATGTTTTTATGAACAGCACAGTTCTTTGTTTCTGCACCATATTGCTGTGACATGTTGATTTGCCTTTGCAAGGATCTGTTCAGTTTAGGGACTGACTTCTGGGCCTCAACAGCCAGAGCTTTATACCAGCAGTCCCACTGTTACACCTCACTGTGTACTGGTATTTCTGAACCTTCCTGTGCATATACACAGTTAAATTTGATTTATATTAAGAGGGACAGCTTTGTTCCTCTGCCACAGCTCTGACAAGACTTGCATCCATATGCTGCTGCAACACTTCAGCTTCTCTTCAGCCCCTTAAATTTCTGAAGTTGGAGAGAAGCTGGTGAGAATGTGAATGGTACCTGGGCTTCTCTGCAGGGGATCAGAACAGGAGGTAGTTCCTTTCCTTAGGAAAAGCATTATGGAGAGGGTCTCCACTCATCATCATTCTTTCCATTTTAAAACGTTTTAGTGTCACACAGAGAAGTTTAGGATGCCAGGCCAGTTGCAAGCTCTAGCTGGTTTCAGCTGAGAATGAAGAACCACTGTTGCCTGTAAAATTTCTGCTCACAAGCTGTGAAGTTCTGCAGTTGATGTAAAAAACATAGTTTTACATGTAGCTTTGCATATTTTAATATGCTTTGATAGAAAATTAACAGCTTCTTCTAACGTCTTTGTTTTCTCTAGGAATGATTGAAATTGTGAAAGATGCTACGACAATTGCCAAAATTCAACAGAGCACAGTTGGCAACACTGGTGCATTTAAGGATGAAATACTTAACCAGTGGCTCAAGGAAAGATGTGTGATTGAAGAGAAGGTGAGTTCTTTGATATTTTTAAGTGCACCCTACTACAGAGCCCCATACGGGTGTGTGCGTTGCTTAATGTGTGTTTGAAAAATCCATTTGTTTTCGCTGTATGCAGGCACAGGTGCCTGTGAAAGAATCTTTACCATCCAGCTCGCAAGCCAAGCTCCTGAGAAACAAGATGCTTTAGAAAGGACTCATTTGTCTGTGGTTATTTAGAAGTGATCCATGAGGAACATACCGAAAGGACATCTAAGAAGCCTGAAAGGCAGTGTAGCTCTAGAGGATTACAGTTTAGGGTACTCACAACTCCTTTGCGTAGGGAGGTCTACTGACCTACTAGAGCTCTCTGACAGCTTTTTTTTCTCAGAAAACATGGACAAATATATGCTTATTTTATTTGTACTATGGTATAGACACTACAGCAAGTGCAGTGCAGGGCTGTGATCTTAATCTCTGAAGTGCAACAGTGTATTTTATAACAGTTTGTCTAGCTGTTGATGGATAAATGTCAACAGAAAGGCATGTGACCTTGAAAGTGACTGAATTTAGTGTCTACCATTGAAGCATTTAACATCTCTAAAATTTAGTTTCAGGCAGCTGTGGAAAGATTTGTTTATTCTTGTGCTGGATACTGTGTGGCAACGTTTGTACTTGGAATAGGAGACAGGCACAATGACAACATAATGATTACAGAAACAGGTGAGTTATTTTTTTAGAGTTTCATAGAAGTTGGGACTGTCTATACTTCACTAGATTTATGGTTCATTTTAATAAATAACACATTTAACAATGAATGAAGAGATACATTCCAGTTCTGTAAGCACTGCTTACAAGTTCAAGTCCTCCTGTGACACTGGAATGTACTGTCATCCCTTTTGGCCTTCACCTAGGCTCTAGGTATTTATCATTAAGAATGCTATTCTTTTCCAAGGACAAGGTTGTTACAGACTGAGTCATGAGGAACTTAAAACTAATTTTTTTTTTTAGTGTCTAGAAAATAACTTTAAAAAGCAGACCTGTCTGTAGTGTGAAAAAGGTTCTGACAGTATTCAGTGGAACTATGTCTGTGTCAGAATTCAGATATTACTGGACTATTTTCACTTGTGAGGAACAAAATTGCTTTATATTCCTTTATAGAAAATCCTAGAAAATAAGTGTACATGGAGTGTATAGGTTTTGCTACTGAAGTCTGGTGTGGTTGCAGTGCTCCTTGAAAGAACTGCAATTTTTTTATACTACAAACTTTGGGAATTATTTCTGTAGCTACACATTTGTTCATCCCTAATCTTACTTATCTATAGAAGTCCCAGAAAGAACCCCAGAATGAGCACTACATGTGGAGGAGTTTTGTTTGGTCTAAGAAATTCATAATTAGTCTTTACATAATGCTAAGAGACAGAAAATACTTTTGGGCTTAGTTAGAAGGCTGTATATTTAATACTAATCATATTATAGTTAAAGTTTTACCAGTTGAAGGCTAGAGAGAAGTGGTACCTTGGAGGCAGAAATGAGCTAATGAGAGGCTGCAGTAAAAAAAAGTTTACCAGATGTCCCTGAGGAAAAGAAGACCAAGAAATGCTTTAATTGCCACATTATTATACAATACAATGCTAGTGCCCACTGGCAAAAAATGAGAGTCAAGTCAGTGGAAAGGGAGACAGAGAAAGACCAGGTTACTCTGTTGTGGTCAGGAGCAGGTTTACTTTAGAGTCTTTAACAGAAGTTGTCTTGAGCAAGAAGAGCATAAGGATGTGAGTCTGAGGTCTGCAGGGAGTGTCAGGTTTGGTAGGCTGGGAGGGCTTGGAAACTGGCTGAAATGCTGGAACATCTAAGGATGTTCCTCCTACAGATAGATCACTGTTAAGTATCATCTTACATTATTAGATGTTTTTTTCTTTTTTTATGCATGGACCACTGTTATAAATCTACGGTTTTAAGTAACCATACTCTTTTATCCTTACATCTTGTTTGCTAGTAAAAGTAATGAAGTAATCTGAAGAGCAGCAGCACACTCCGGTCCTGTAGGTGCAGTGACCCTTAAAAGGGGAGTTTTTCATCACTTTCCTGGGCAGTGAGATCCCACTGCTATCTCAAAGTTACCCAAAGGGTGACAATGCAAGCTTATTCTGGTAGTTTAGGTATTGGTAATGCAGGCCTATGAGGAAGAAGCATGTTCTAGAGAATGACAATAGCCAAGGAGGTGTATAGCACCAGAATCCCATGGATATTTGAAAGATAATCCACAAGCCTTTCCCATGTAATGTGTGCTGGCAGCTGATTGTTACAGACCTAAGACACAAGCTTTCCTTGGTTAATTTTTGAAAAGCTGTGAGTGTATGTTTCGAAAACACAGCAGTTCTGCCAGGTTTTTAACAGCTGTCAAAGAGAAATAAAAAGTGGCTATGCCAAGAGGACAGAATTACATATTTAAAAAACAAAAAAGTGAAAATAGCCTTTTCTGCTGAACTAATGAGTGATCACAGATACCCCAAAAAGGAGGTTTTGGAATTATTGTGAATACAAGTAAGCGTTCTTTGCAGTTTATTGTGTTTGAGCTGAACTGTGACTTCTTCTCTTTTTGAAGGTAACCTTTTCCATATTGATTTTGGCCACATTCTTGGGAATTATAAAAGCTTCCTTGGAATTAATAAGGAAAGAGTTCCTTTTGTGCTGACTCCAGATTTCCTTTTTGTCATGGGGACTTCTGGAAAGAAGACAAGTCTCCATTTCCATAAATTTCAGGTAAAGAATTAATATCTATCTGCAAAACAATTAAGCAATGTTTTTTACCCTCTGAAATGAGCATTAGTGCCTTCATTTTTAAAGGTCTAGGCTCCTGGGTATTATCTTAATAAGATTTCTTAAATCATAATACAATTCTGGAATATTTCAGGCCCAACTAAGAGCAAAAATTATCTGTAGGATTATGGGAACTAGAATTCAAGCATCCACAAAGCTACACTGAAAAGATGAGTTAGAAGCAGACAGGCAGTCCTTGCTTTGTTTCTTACCTGGATTGAAAATACTTTGTAGAGGACTCCAGTATTTGTGCAGTTGGAGGAGACTCGTAGCACTAGGCTGAGCCTTCTTCATAGTATGAGCAAGTGCGAGGCATTGCAAGTGTTAATCCCTCCAGATTCTGCATCCATGTTCTGGGACTCTGACTGCTGCCTCTGGGTAGAAATCTGCAGTGACCCTCAGCTACATCAGATTCTGGGTTTGTGAAAGGGGAGAGAAAAGAGTGGTGTTAAAAATCTGTTCTCCTGCAGCTTCTGTTTGAAATTCAGCCACTCTAAAACAGTCGTGATTTTTCAAGCTTGTGTAGGATGTGGATGAGGAGGGAGCAAAGCAAAATGCTGGTTAGTATGTTTAATGAAATGGCTGGGACCATGGCTGACCAGAAATAGATGGATGTCTGGGGTGTTATTCCTATGCTCATATTTAGAAACTTTAAATAAGTGTCTGATTTAGAAAGGAGGTTCCCTATAATACTACAAGAAAAAGTCTCCTCCAGAGTATGAGTCAAAGCAAAAGCCTGACTTAGCTGTTCTGGATTCCCTGTGGATGACCCGGTCCCAGTCCCGGTAAGGAGTCTAGTTTTCAAACCTGAGTACCTAATTAAGGTTCTTATTGTTGGATAGTGAATATGGTGAATATGTCCCTTTGAACATGTATGTGATTGTATAGCAAACAGCAAGGCAGTTGTCATCCTTGAGCCCAGACTTCTGAAAATACCTGAAGAATCGAGTGCGATTTTTGAGCCTTTGTTTGCACAAGGACTGGCTTTATCACAGTGCAGGTGTTTTGATGGGGACTTACAGCTCAGAAGATTGAAGAGCAAAGTGATTTTTGCTGTGGGAGAACTTAGACACTTTATATTATAAACCCACCTGACCTTTAGAATACTATTACTTAGGAAAGTTTTAAACTCTCAAAATAATTATTCTTTATTGTCTGTTTGACAATGGGATTTTGGTTTCCTCTCAGCTCCTCTCATGTTTTGCCTATGGCTTTAGATTAGAGAGCAGCTTTCTTCTTAATCCCTTGGTAAACATCTATGTATCCTTGACACATATGTATACGTTATTTTTGGTTCTTTCTGCCTCTCTCAGAAGTGTAAAAATTAATTTTCTTAGAGGATGTTAATTCAAAATTCCATTCAGTTCCTGTCTAAGTAAATAAATGTAACAGACAGATACAGATTTTTGAAATCTTTTTGAATTCCTGAAAGGACTGCCTTTGAGATGCAGTGATGCCAGGTTCTTGACTGCATAATTGTTTTTCTGTCTCGAGACGCCTGCAGTAGTGAGATGCATCATCCATAGAGAAATGTAAAACCTTCTTTGATATAACTATAAAGAACTTTCATCTCTTTCAAGAGGAACAAATCACACACTAACTCTTGTGACAAGATTTCCCTGTTTGAAGTTGGTAATACATAAGTAGAATTTCTTTTTGTTGTTGTTGTTTTTTCCCCCTGCTGTCATGGAAAGAAACAAATCCCTGTGATAAGATGATGGTGATTTCTGTTGTAAATTGTGCTTTGAGCATTGAAATTTATCTTCTGCTTTGCTAGAGCTAAACTAACATTACAGTTCATAAGTACGATCTTATTTTAGGATAGACTTTATTTGGAAATGGAGTGAAAGATTTAAGGGCCCGGGCAATAGGAATAAAGAAACCCTACAAACAGATCTTCAATTTATCATCTTCCTTCCCTAGTATCTTCCTAACAAGTCTAGTTGATTGTCTTGGTGTTGCTGATGACAATAGTGATGTTAGGCTTATTTTTGCATTTCTTACTATTCCTAAGGAACTAAAAAATCATGAACCTTGTCAAAAATAAACGGTGTTCTAAAGGCTGATGCGATTTCATGGAACTCTACATAAAAATATTTGGATATCTTAAGAATTCTTCAATAAGTTCATGTACATTTATGGAAAGGCTAAACTGAATATTTAGTTGGGTAAAAATTATCATTGGTTCAGCTTTGGTTTCAGTAGCAACAACCCTCTTGGAAATATTTTTCATCTATTTACATTACTGCATTGCAGGCCCAATCTAACTTTCTAATATATGATTGATTCCTTCATTGCATTTTCTTTCCTAAGATGTTACTTCTAAAAGTAAATGAGTAATAAATTTAATATAAGAAATAATCATTTCAGTTTATGTATTAGTCACTTGGCATTAAATATTCTTTTAAAAAGCATTGCATGTTTTTGCAAGCTGCAGAAAATTCAGTCTCGGTATGTTGTTAAGCACAAATTACTTACTTATGGAAGTAAAAAGCTATTAAAAAATAATCTAGAGAATCCACTATGACAGTACATAAACAGAGATGTCCTACAGCAAGGCAGTGTGCCTGAAAACTAGAGCTGTCAGCTGCAAAAATTTCTCAAAAGACCAAGCCTGAAAAATCTTCTCCATGAAACAAGCTGCCACCTCTGCAGAGTTAACAGGCAGGTGTATGTAATAAGGAGCAGTCCCCTGGCGGTGCTGCTCTGTTCAGTACCACTTGCCGGCCGTGGTCTTTCAGTGGGAACGTAGCGGTGGGGAAGGCAGAGGAGGAATTGCCGCTGTCTCTTTTAGCAGCCGCAGAAGGAGATTGTATGGCAGGGGAATTAATTTGAAATTTTGGTGAAGCTAAGGTTTTATGCTTTATTAAATAATCAGAGTTACGTTATTTGAGCGAGCCTTTAGTCTGCGCACCAGAACAGTGGTTGCTGCGCCAAGGTGTGGTGGTGAGTGGAGCAGTGCTGCAGGTCGGGAGCGCTGGTGGCGTTTCTGGGGAGGCGCGTGGCTCTGCTGGGCCTCCTCTCCGACCTGCTGAAGTGGCTCACTGCTGTGGGCTATGAGAGTGGAATTCCTGCGCTGGCCCGCTCAGTTCGTCTCACCCATTCACAAAAACTTCTTCTCTCTTGCAGGACGTATGTGTGAAGGCTTATTTGGCTCTTCGACATCACACAAACCTGCTGATCATCCTGTTCTCCATGATGCTCATGACTGGAATGCCCCAGTTAACCAGCAAAGAGGATATCGAGTATATCCGGGATGCGCTGACAGTAGGGGAAAGCGAAGAAAATGCCAAAAAGCATTTTCTTGATCAGATAGAGGTTTGCAGAGATAAGGGCTGGACTGTGCAATTTAACTGGTTTTTACATCTTGTGCTTGGAATCAAACAAGGAGTAGAAAAGCATTCTGCGTAATATTTTATGTAAATTAACTGTGGGTGTTTAATAGGAGGTTAGTGAATCTACATGTTATTTATGAATTCTGAATAAATGAGCAGTAAAAATTGCCTTTACTCTGCTGGCAGCTTAAATAGATCTTTAAAAAGGCAAAGACTTTTGCTCTGCCTCTGCAGAAGATCTTCCTGCAGTTACGATTTTCTTTTTTTAATGTCTAAAACCAATTCCTGTTGCTGGTTTCTTTTAACTAGTTGCTTTGCTAATGTGGCCTGCATTTTTCTTGATTTCTTTAGTAATAGTTTCAGATAAATATGAAGGAGGAGCTTGAATAAGATGATAACCTGCAAATTCTAATAGAAATCTGCTTGTTATGAGGATCAGGCCCTTCTAAAGCAGAAGAATCTATGGTTATATTGAAATCCATGCAGGCAATTAACTTATTTCTCAGGATGGCTTATACTCAAGTGTTCTTCACCCACATCTTTCTCTTTTGTCCCTTCCTTAATACTTTGGAGAATTTTTTTTTATGTTTAATATGTTGTCAGTAGAAAACAGCTTTAGCTTTACTGCTAGAGGAGATTGCCTTACCATTATTGTAGCCTCCTGACGTAGACAACTGACCTTGAATGTCCTGGCAGGAGAAAGTCACAGTTATCTGGAAGTTCCTCAGGTTTGAATGTGAAATTCTGGAGGCTTAACTTTGGAAGGTTTTGTACTGTACTTTCTACTGAGGAACATCCATGTTATATTACAGATTATATGCTTACTATAAAGTTACTGAAATTCCACTTGTATAGTAAAAGCTTTGTAGAAGAGCAATGGTACTTCCTTATTCCTCAGAGAAAACTCCTTATGTAAGAGTAATTGACAATTTACCAAATATTTGAGAAACCCAAAGTTATTTATTCTTTGGTGATATATTTTCAGGATATACCTAGAAGGAGTTAAATATAATCTCTGAAATTGTGTATATTTTGCTATTTATTTTTAAATTCCTTAAGAGACTATACTACTGAAAAGCTATTTATGAAAGAGAAAGAATCCTTATCTTTAACTTCAATATTTAAATTTAAAAGAGGAAAAAATGGGCAGTGTTAAGTAGAGTTTTAACTTCTCTGCTGAAGGGTGCCTGCAAATCATCAAGTCTGCCTGTGGTAGGAAAGGAAAAAAAAAATAGCATGAGTTGGTCTCTGACTATTATTACTATGGTATAATTCTTGCTAATTGATTTTTGCCAAAGAGAGAAGATGACTTACAGTATTGCTTTTTTGCACTTGCACCCATGTAATTTCTTCCTTCATTGTAGCATTACATGGGTTTTACATTACATATAAATGATTAACTGAATTTTTAAATTTTGTTATCATTTGCTTTGATCATTTCAGAGAACTATTAAGATCTTAACTACTGCTACCACTGTTACTACTGAGTGTATTCTTGAAGGTTTTTTAATAAATGTACTGTAATTGGTGTCTCAGTATGAGATATAGCCAATCTCTTCTTGAAATGTAGATGTTTAATCGGTTACTGTGCACAACTATTTTTTATGTATCTGGTAGACTCTAGTTAAGGAAATCTAGAAAGTTAAAATGCAGAGTATTTTGTTGTTCTGTCGCCTTATTACTCAGTGCAAGATAGGCTTAAGACTATACTAAAATATAAACTAAATGGTGAGTATTGTCTGTAAAATTATATTTTTAGATTTGTATTTTATAGTTTTGAAATAAATTGACATGTTCTGTTCACTTGATTATCATTCATGAATAAGCAGCTTAGCCCAAAATATATGCAAATATTTTTTATCCAGTTGCTTAAAGACTATGTCATCTCAGTAAGAAATCATACTCAAAGTCCCATTCGGAGGAATTGGTTTAGTTCCATATTAATAATTCCGTACGATGTCAGATACTTAAAATTTTAATAGTCTATTGTATTAGAATTGCAATTATTATAATTGTAAAATGTGAATAGACTATTACCACTTTCTAAGAGCACTTTATTCATTCCTGGTTTGTTCTATAAAGAAAAATCTGAAGATTTTAACAAGTTCCTAGTTTTAAAAAGTACGTCAATCTACTTACTGCTAAACTTAACTCCAGTATGGGGAAATAAATGCTACTCACAACTTCAGGGGAAATGGCACTCTTGAAGCAGCCTCCATTTCCAGAGAAAGGTCTACAAGAGATCTGCACCCAGAGGAAAGCAGTTTAGTGCTGCACTAAACTTTGAGCGATGATTTGTATCGTCAGTTTACAATGTGCTAGGTGGAACGTTAGACGGGCTCTGTTACAGACATCTCAAACACTTTGTGCTCAGGTAATTAGCAGACTTTTTCTTGGCTTTCCTTGCCCGTGAAACGTGTGGTTGGGGCTGCCTGTGCTAAGCTTGCCTTGTGTTTTCCTCCTCTGCACTGGGCGCTGGGTGTCTGCCAGCCTGACTTCTGGGAGGTCAGCAGTAGCTGCCAGATCTCCTTTTTACCTAGGGAACGAGCTATTAGGCAGCTTACCGGCACTTTACGTATAAATAGCTGGGCATTCATATGGCTCATTAGCTGTTGGCTTTGGTGTGCTTCTGGAAACCTCCACCCACAGCCGACAGTTGTCTGGCAAGCCCTGACACAAGGGAAAACAGTGCAGAGATGTGGTTTGAGGCAGTCCAGCTTCAAGAAGGAGTGGAATTGTTTTTCACATGAGGAGGTGGACAGGAGTACATGTCTGCCTGTCCCAGTGCAGAACATGGCCAGTGCTTTCTGCAGT